ATCCAAAATGTTCCAAATTTGAGGTTCATTTTAGAGGAGACAATATTTCCTTAAATCGTCAGAACCTATTTCTTTTGTTCCTGCTGACTGTACTAAACAAGAGAGACTCGTGAGTACTGTCCATGTACTAGTAACTATAATCATATATATATATATATATATATATCTGATATGAATAATGCACTTTGGCTTATGTAGCTCAAGTGAAGAATAATGAGCATTGTGAACCCTAATAAAATTTACCTTACTATGCACACATTTACATGTGTGTATTCTAGTTTTAGAATTATATATCTGAATGTATGCTTGCTCCCAATGAGGATGATACATGAAATGTGCGCCATTTATACTAGCTATGAGTTGTTATTTAAAAAAAACACAAAATCAGGTGTAAAGTTCATTATTTATGTTGGTTTTAGTTTTATACTCTCTCTGTACTACAATATAACTTATGTTGTAGAAGTACTCTTTAGTTCAAAATATAGGACATTTGGTAAATTTTATGTTTTCTTCCTCATTTATACCCTTTTGTTTTTTTTATTCCTTGTCTTTAAATGCTCCATATTCAAAGACTATGTAAGTGTTACAAGGAAAATTCAAGGATATAAATGGAAAGGTGTAGATATTTTTAGGAAAATAAGGTTTCAACTAATTTTTTTTTTTGTAAGCCATGAATTAGTTAACAATGACAAATATTGTGATTCAAAGGGAGTAGATAGAATTTTAACTACAACAAGATAGAACACACACATATACCACTTCTATATATGAAACTAATCTTAATCATGGTCGTGTGCATAAATTTTTTATCCCAACGCATCTCATTGTAAGCTCAAGTGTTCAGCGCCAATAATAAACTTAACCCTGAAGCGTTGCAAATGCCCTAAATGCTTATTGGAAAAATGACAATTGGGGATCTTGTAAATACATTAATGGCAATTAAAGACCTCGGAATATTGAAATGTTAGAGAAGGATAATGATCTTTATTTGCAATTAAAATACTTTTAATTATTAAAATAACTAAGAGAAGGCCATTCATGAATTTAAGATAAGTTGGTTGTGAATTTCAGTGACCTCACTTGTAACTATATATAAAGTCAATTGTAAATAGATAAATAGTTTTGCAAATATATACAACGTCATCATATTAAAGGAAAACCACTTGTGAATGTTTGGAAAGCTACTTGCAAATTTATATAGTGTCACTTATGAATGGATTTTCAGAAATACGATATGGTCCCTAAATCATTTGATTTACAATTAAGACTATTAATATTCATTCACAACTAACATTCTATATATTTACAAGTGATATTTTTTAAATTTATATTTATCTATCCTTAAATCATGAGTGATACATACATAAATTCATGAGATTATCTATTTATTTGCAAGTGAATTTTCATAAATTCACTAGTGACTTTCATAAAATTTGCATGTGACTATATTTAAATTCATAAGTGACGATGCATAAATTTATAAAATTATTTATTCACTTAAATTGATTTTCTATATATTGATTTACAATTTAAGTAAAGTGAGTTGTGAAATTATTTAAACTCACAGTTAACTTTATTTAAATTTACAACTAACTTTATTTGCATTCATGAGTCACGTTTCTTGAGTTATTTTTATAATTATTTGTTTTTAATTACAAAGGCGTGATCTTTTATAATTTGATGTTTTTAATTGTCATTAATGCTTTTACAAGGTTGGTATTTGTCATTTTCCCATACTAATATTAAAAAATTTTTAGTTGTTAACGGTATATAGTGGAACCATGTCAGAAAATTTTACATTGTGTTAGGTATATATCATATGTTTTTTTTTTTAAATTAGATTTCCTTGGCAAACGTGGGTTGACTTGACTTGGAGTAAATTGATCATCAGTCATGACTTAGGCTCCAAGTTGATTGACTTTGGAGATCAACTCAATAATCAAAAGCTGTCTAAACTGACAGCTCATGGGAATTAGGTGCATATTAATTTCCTCTCTAAAGTGGTAGGGTGAAGACTTAAGACTCGTAAGTTAAGTTGAAGTCAATTTTCACTAACTAAATTAATTTTATAATATAATATAATATAATATAATATATCTTACCTATTCTTTTAATTATAATAGGAGTATTTTATGTACTTAGAGAATAATGAGACTGTTAAAACCTTGTACTCCCAGGTCCTTGACCTGTCTTTCAATTTCGAGAGGGGAAAGAAAAAAACAGAGAATAATGAGACCATTCTCGAAACTCTTATGGGGAGAAAAAAAACTCTTAACAAATTGGCATCCGTTGTTGGATAAAATTTCTATAATTAAATAGGTTTCCGACGCTTAATAAGCATTAGTTTGATTGATGATAATTGAGACCCAAATAAGTTTGATTAGTGATATATAATATATATTTTTATAACAGAGAGAAGCTGATTGTTTGAGAATAAACTGTAAGGAGGTTGGATTTAAAGACCATGCAGGTAGTTAAGGAAGGAACTTTGCACCGACGTTCGATACATAGCCTTTTTTTTTTTTTTGGTGCAATATAAGTCTAATGACTAATTTTTTGGGTCGAAAGCCTAATATTTGATAAAAATAATATTGAGCTAGTTTTAAAATAATAAATTTAATGTTCTAATGTCTTTCCCATATTTTCTCTAAAAAATAGTAAACATAATGTTTTAACTGATTTTTTAAAAAAAGCTTGATAAACAAAATGACTTACTGTACTAGGTCAACAACATAGCACAGTTATAAATTTTGGAAGACGATCAGCTGTAAATACGAAACGATTGAATTATAAATCTTGAAAGATGAGATGTAAATATTTTATCAAAGCCTATTTTTCACATGTTAACTTAATTTATAACTAATTTAATTTTTGGAATTTACAACTGAATTTCACATTTTATATTAACATTGATTTTTTTCAATAATCTATAACTTATCTTCTAATAGTCAAAAAATACAATCAGACTAATTCTACTTCTATATATTACCGAAACAGCTCATTAAAACAACTAATTATCAACAGATAAAATATCAATTTAACGTTGCACTTTTGAAGGGATTGCAATTGCAAATAATTATTTAGAAAAACTATAAGATATATGAATACACAATATCTTTAAGATAAACATTAATATATTTTCTACCAAAAGAAATAAAAGCAATAGAAAGCGCCAAAAATATATTGAAATGAAACAAAAAACATAACGAAGACTTCATTTTCTAATTGAGGAGTGACTGGCTCACTACTATATATGATATTGAAAACTAATGACTTGAGCACCTATGTTTCGTTAATGAAGGTATCTATAATTAAGATAAAATAATATATGAGGCATTATATTGGAGTATCTAGCTGTTATCTTTATCTACCACGTGCATGTTTTTATCCGTATTAAGTTAATTTTATGAGAAAAAAGCAACCAAAAGGTTGAATTTTCATTCATATACACCATTCAACAAATTGCGTTATGAGCCTAGTGGTGTGAAATTAAGCATTTGGAACGACTCGCAAGTCAAGACAAGAACGTGAATGTTTTACACGATCCATCTTTCATTAACCATGAATACACTTTGACATATGTTCACGAGCTCTTTCATCTCTCACTCATTTATCTTTTCTTCTTTTGAAGTAATTTATCCCTAATCCTCCATATAATTCCCCTCAGAGATATGATCATAGCCACGGACCACACCAGGGCAAAAAATATTATGGGAGTCACTTTTTTTTTTAATTTTGAAAAACCCAACACGCGCGCGCGCAATGTTCGTTTAATTAGTTAAATTTTGTATTGTTCAATAATTATCATAAATGAATTTATTTAATAACTATATTATAGTCTAATTTTTTAATAAAACTATTCCATATAATGATGTAGAAATTTACAAATTGTAAAAAAGATATACATATATACATATACACGCAAGGCATAAATTTTTATAGGATTAAATGTTTGACAGTTAATATTACACAAATTTTATAATAAACATTTATATTGATGTCATTTTTCAAATTTTATACTTATTTATCACATATAAATGTTCTGTTTAATAGTTATATATCAATAATCATATCCTTATTATTAGTAGTAAAAAATAGTATTAATCAATTAAACAATAACACACACGCACACATATAAAATAAACAAATAAAACAGTGTATAACACACACACACGCTCTCATGCATGTAATGTATAAAGATATATTTTACAATACACAATCTACGAATCATGCATTTTGAAATAATAAAACACTCAACAACACTGACAAGTCACGGATAATTTGGATTTATTAAGCGACCTAAATTTACTCACTCAATAAGTGTCCTAATTATATAAACTAAACAAATAAAATAGTATATAAACTAAACAAATAAAATAGTGTATAACACACACTCTCTCTCTCATGCATGTAATATATAAAGATATATTTTGCAATACACAATCTACAAATCATGCATTTTGAAATAATAAAACACTCAACAACACTAACAAGTCACAGATAATTTAGATTTACTAAGCGACCTAAATTTACTCACTCAGTGTCCTAATTATAGTCATTTAATTTCATCAATAATTGAAAATTAACAAGATATATTTTTCTTCCAAAATTTAAAACCCCCACAATAATCAGAACACTACTCATTGCCTATGATGTCCCTGACAAAAATTTAAAATTTGGTACTTTTTGAGTATCATGACAAAATCTCATACGGTTATTTGATTAAATTGAATAGTTGTTATCATATCAATGCAAGACATTCATCCTATAGAAAGTATTAGGCTTCCTTATGAAACCAAGAAATATAAAATGAAATCCCCATAATCAAAGGCGTTCATTCAGGAAGTTCCTGTCATTGACTTCAATGTTTTTTTTTTTTAAAAAAAAAATTACAGTCAGCAGTTCTTTGTAACCCAAAGATCACGCAAACTTTTCTATAAATACAACCACCTCATAACCTCCTTCTTCACTCATATCTATCTTCTTCGTGTTACCTCCAGCATTATTGTTCTTCAATCATGCATAATCTTTCTCTCCCTCTTGCTCTCCTAGTCTTTCTATCAATTTCGTCCAATATAAACGCTAAGCTCCCAAAAGGTTTCAGCATTGACCTCATTCATCGTGACTCACCATTATCACCCCTTTACAACTCTTCCATGACCCAGTCGCAACTCGTCCAAAACGCTGCGTTGCGTTCCATGGCTCGAGTGAATCGTTTTCGCCAACCTTCCCACAATATAGCCGAAATAAGTGAGCTGGCTCAAACTGATATAATTCCAAACTATGGAAACTACCTCATGAAGATCTTCATTGGAACCCCACCTGTAGAGAGATGGAGTATTGCAGACACAGGAAGCGATCTCATTTGGGTTCAATGCTCACCTTGTCCCAAATGCTACCATCAAGATGTCTCCTTGTTTGATCCAACAAAATCTTCCACCTACAAGTCTGAGACTTGTGGCTCAAGAAACTGTGCTCTTCTCCCTCAGGGCCAACATAAATGCGGAAACTCGAGTCAGTGTTTGTACCTTTATTTATATGGAGATCGGTCTTACACGGTGGGATATTTGGCTACAGAATCAATTAATTTTGGTACTAGTGATGGCCAATCTGTTGCGTTCCCTAAGTCTGTATTTGGATGTGGGCATTACGATGATGGGACGTTCAATAGCCACGTGGCAGGACTTGTTGGACTAGGTAATGGTCCTTTGTCCTTAGTTTCACAACTTGGTCATCAGATTGGTCGCAAATTCTCGTACTGTTTGCCTCCTTTAGATGTGAAGGCCCCGACTAAGTTGAGATTTGGAGAAGAAGCCACCATATCAGCAAATGGAGTTGTGTCCACTCCCATGATCACCAACCCTAATAATCCGACCATTTACTACCTCACTCTTGAAGGTATGCGTATATGCGTATATGTTTTTCGCATATTTCATTTTAAAACTCTAAACTCTTGAATTCAAACAATTCTTGATAGAGGATATATGTATATATATATATATATAATTGAAGTGGCCTGTATTTCTGAAAGGAAAAAACTCAATCATTATATATATACTGCTCATTCTTTCCAACACAACCCAGATTCGCAGTATCATATCAAGAATTAATAACATATCATGCTCATATTTTGGGCCGTTTTTCATGTAAAGTTACGTTGAATATTATGTATGAAACTTTATTTTGTGGTGTGAATTGTCAAAGTTAAATGGTGGTTGACAGGTATCACCGTTGGACAACAAAAACTGGAGATTGATCAAAGCAATAGAAACATAGTGATTGATTCAGGGACGACTTTGACACTTCTTCCATCAAGCATTTATGAGCAGGTTGAAGCATTGATGAAGAAAGCCATTGGAGCCGACCAATGGATAGTTCAAAACTCAAAACTTAACTTGTGTTACAAAAATGCTAACTCTATCAAAAATTTTCCAAACTTCGAGGTTCATTTTACAGGAGCAAACATTTCCTTAAAACCACAGAACTTGTTCCTTCTCGTGACCAACGATGTGATCTGCTTTGCCATGTCTCCCACAAATGAAAATTCCATTTACGGAAACGTGGCTCAGATTGACTTTGACGTGGAGTATGATCTTGATCAGAGAAAAATTTCTTTTGCACCCGTGGATTGTACTAAACAATAGAGACCTGAAGTAATTGCAGTACAATCAATCATATATTTAATGAATAATATGTACTTGCTGAGATGCAGCAGCTCGAATGGATTATAAGCATTGTAAACCCTAGTTTTTCTCAGCTACACACGCGCGCACCTTTGTATAAGTTGTGTTTTTGGACGTGTCTGAATGGATATATATATATATATCTGATAATGACTTGCTCCATTTGGTCCTCATAAGGGTTTATTAACATTACACATATTAAAGAATTCAATTAACATTAGGTAGTGTTTGAATTAATGTATTTGGATTTGGAATTGGATTTTATATCTCATATTTGAAATTCATTTATTTAAAATCATTTGTTTGGCAGTTTAAAAAATTTTAAATGAAGAAGAGAGATGGACTGAAATTCAAAATGAAAATGAAAAATTGTAAATGATAAATTTATTTTTATTTTTTAAACAACATAGAATGAGAAAAGATATGAGAGTCATAAATGTATTAATAGTAAAAATGTGAAGAAAATACTATGTTTGAAATGATTAGAATTTTAAATGATTAAGGTGTAGATGAAATTTGAAATTACAAAAAATTATAATTTGATTTGGATTTTGATTTGAACCAAATTTAAATTCATATATTTTTATGTATTCAAACAAGAGATTTGCTTCAAATTTTGAATACTCATTAATTCGAATACACCGTTAGTTTAGGTTTTTAAATTTTCAAAAACTACCTTCAAAATAAATTTAATTAACTAGACAAGGTTGTTTATTAATTAGTTAGGTTAGGAATATCAAAGTTTGGACACAGAAAAAATTAATGCTTTATACAAATAGAAAGTAGGATTTTTTAAAAGTAGAATTATTTCTACTATTCCAAGATATAATAACATGCCCTCTTCACCTCTTCTACTTGTAAGCTCAATTAAGTTCATACATATGCTGTACGTAGGTTGACTTGACTCGGAGTAAATTGATTGGTAAGAACATAGGCCATTGATTGATTGACTTAGAATTACGTGAATATAATTCATAAGCCGCGGGTGTCGTGATCAGACTATATATATACACTAAAAAAAAAAAAAATTGATCTCGCCCCTAAGAATTTTAGCGTGCGACAGCTTTATTCGTTGCCAAAAGATCACCATTGTAACTCTCATCGCTGATAATTTTTGACAACAATATTTGTATGTATTTGCATTCCGTGAGTGGTCCAAATAATACACTTACTCAATGAATGTCTTATGTGAAATAATAATCGTTTGAGTCTTATATTAAAGACCGGAGCAAGTACATGCAATGACCCTGAAAATAATTATAATATTTAAATTAATAATAACATATTTTTGATTATATTTAATAAAATTTACAGTAGATGTAATAAGGTGAATTGGTGGCTTAGTGGAAATTGTGCTTATTATTCATGCTTTGAGTTCAAATTTATGCCCAAGAAGAACATTTTATTTTGCTTTAAACACTATGAAATTACCAAAATGCCCCTCTTAAAATATAACATCAGAATTTTATTCCCACCTCTCTTCTCATTCTCGTGTCCTGTATCTACCAAGGGAGAGGGAGCAGTGGTAGACGCAGGACCTTGGATCAATGGGGCATAAAATATAAAAATAATAAAAACTAAAATTAAAACACTATAAAAATAATTCAAATTTACATCACCAAAAAATAATAATATAATTTCAAATTTAATAGGTTAAGAATTTAAAATCTATTAAACTTAAGTGAAATTTCAAATGCTTAATTTTTTTTTTGGAACTCAAATATGTTCTATTTTGAGTATAGTGGGTTCAAAATTATAATTGTAGTGGGTACAAATTTTCAAAAGTTACAATGAATAATTGTAAATTTCTCCAAGTTGAATGGGGGCATTTGCCCACCCCCAACTGTATCTACATTCGCCAGTGAGAGGGAGAGAGAGCTTTGACAACGTTCTTCCTCTTCGTTCTTCCCATTCATCACAAGTGTGTTTGTGAAGTGTCCGGCCCGCGCAATTGTAGCTGCTGGATTCTTCTTCTTCTTTCCTTGTTCTGTCTTGCATCACCAGATTCTTTTCCTTTGTTTTGCGACGTTGTGCCCTGGTGAGAGTGCGTAGGAATTCCAATCCTTACACTTTGTTCTCTATTCTTCCTCAGCTTTGTTGATGCATGTACGTACAAACCTTTCTTCTTCCTTCTTTTCTGTTGGGAGTAAGAGTTGTAAAGAGGGTTGGTTTCATTTTATTTCTTTCCTCTGTTTCAGTTGGTGATCGTGAGTGGGAAAATTTTTCCAGTGTTAAAATTGAAGCTTAGGGAGTTTACATTGAACAGGCATACCTCCTCTTTAATTGCTTTCATTGTTGGAAGAGGAGGAAAATAGGTTTACATTTCTTCTTTAATCTGAAATTGATTCTTGGTATAACAAATGAAACTTTTCTTGGTACAACATTCCAAATTGTTCTCAAGCCCATTGACAACTTGAGTATAACAAATTGATTATTATATTAATTATCAATTTGCTATATTCAAGTTATCACCGGACTTTTTGGTATTTTAAAATGTTGTGCGGATCTTAAGAGTAATTCTCTCTTAATTTTATTGGGCATTCTAAGAAAGGATTACCAACAAACATGACATCATTATTGGATGGAGTTGAACCGTTAATGAAGGAATTAACAAAAGAAATCAATATCTGAAGTCATGATTACCATTCCCTTCATCTACTAGCTAGATGATATAGTCCAATATTAGTGCAAGCTTAAATATACTTTCCTATGTTTTAATTACTTTAGGACGCAAATTGCTACAATGTAAGTAGTTTAATTAGGACACTAAGTACACTTTGAAAAATAGTTCATGCACAAAAATGTACCTTAACTTGAATCTATTTAGCATAACATGTAACATTTTTGGTTAAACTTAAGTTTTAGTTAGTATTTTTAACGATCAATATTGGGGTATTTAGCATTATCAGAGACAAATATACTATATTTTAATTACTTTAGAGACAAAATTGTTACATCAACAAATATTTTAAGATACTAGATACTTTTTGGAGAATAGTTCAAGACAAAAATACACACTAACCCTGGGTGTGTGCACGCGTGTGACAATACAGTAGATTAGGTTGCATGTTGAAAATGAAAATGACTATGACTATATTCTTATAACCCAAAGATAATGCAAACCTTTCCACCAATTACAGGCACCTTCCACGGCCCTTCCTCACTCTCATCCAATCTTATCTTCTGTTTCTATGAATACGTTTGACTAGAATACTCTAAAACCCAACAATGACGCAAACCATTCTCTATAAGTAGAAGCACCTCAAGCTCCTTCTTCACTTGTTCCTAGCTATTTCTCTTGCATTTCCTCGAACATGCATTATTCTCTTTCACACTATAATTCATACTTCTCATCTATTTCCCATTTTAATTTCTCCATTATTCTTCAACGCGCAATATATTTCTACTTTCGTACACTCGTTATCTTCCACGCTCCGTCCTCACTCATCTATTCCTATTTCTTAGTCATTTCGATTGTGTTTCTCTAGCTACCATGCATTCTACAAACATGCCTGCTCAATTTCTTTCTTAGTTCTTAATTAATTTTCTTCTTGCTTCTTCGCACTTTCACTATTCTCCAGAACCTTCCATTTTTTTTCTCCTTCCTCAGTCATCTTTCACACTTCTTTTCCTCCTTCATTCCTCACTTATTTATTACTTTTTCATCTTTCACCAATGACAGTTAATCAATCCACAGCGTTTGTTTGGCTTTCTTCAGACCACATTATCTTTAGACCCATAAATTTGGGACTGTGAATGTGAGTGTGTGTGCATGTGTATTATTTTCAAATTTACAGTGTGCGTGTTTATAATAGTAGACAAAAAATATTTAAATAAATTAAATATGTAACAACCGTCACTTAAATTAGCTTAAAAACATTTTTTCAGCTTATTTTGATAAGCTATTTATGTTTGATAATCAAGGTAATAGTTATTTCAATCTAGCGTATACTCATTTTGGATCACAATATAGGACATTTTCTATAAGTATTACTTGATCCAAAATATAAGTATAATTTTTATAATTATTTTTTTAACTATATCCCTACTTCATTAATTACTTTGTTTGAAAAAAAAATGATGCATTGAAATGTCAATTGTCATTATGAAGACACTTATATGAGATACTTAATAAAAGGTATAATTTAAAAGATGTAAATTTTTTTAAGAAATTACCTAACTTTTTCAGAGAATGTTAATTATTAGTTACAAATGCTCTATATCATGGTCCAGAAAGAGTAATTGACAAGCCCTCATAATAATAATAATAATAATAAAATCTTCTAGTTTTTTCCCTCACTCATAAGTATCTTTTTATTGAATGTAATTTTATTTAAAACATGATCAGACAATAAATATAGGCACATCTTCTAACAAGAATGTTATGGTGGTCCTAAATTTTAAATTAGTTTTATAGCAAGTAGAGAGTGATAAATTATTGAAACTTATACTAGTAATTTTTTTAAAGGTCTAGAGTTTGAATTCTATTAAGAAAAAGTTCAGTTTTATTTTGTTTTAAATTACAAAAAAAAATTTACACCCTTTCTTGTATTTTTTCTTGTGCTCTTTATTGCAAGTTTTCCAATTTTTATTTGATCAGATTTTTATCTTCCTCTTTCCTGTCATATCTCGTGTTTCTGGCGTTAGTTGATACAGTAAGAGAGCTCGTCTAGAACCTTCCCCACCGCCCTTCAATCTCTGATCTCTTCTCCGTTCATACTGGTCGCCGTCGTTGGAGTAAAGGTGGGCCGGTGCTATCCTGCCAAACTTACAACTTCTTCCTTCTTTGCTTAAAACCGTCGAGATCTTCTCCCACCTTTGTCCATGTAATCGTGCAAACGTTAAGGATTTCTTTCCCCTTCTCCTTTGTCCTTGGCCGTTCGCCACTAGTGACCGTGTAAGTGTCAAAATCTTCCTCCACTGACAGCATAGCAGCTTGTATGTAACGGGTTTCCTCTCCTCTTTTCTGTTGTAGTTCCGTCACCTTCCTCCTGCTTGTGTGTCATGACTATCCAAGGGAGTTTTGAAGAAGAGAAATTTGATTAAAGTTGAGAGGAGAAATTTAAATTCTGAAAATTTTATATAAGTAAATAGCATCCCAATTAATTGTTTAATAAAAATTTCCTTTACAAAAATATTATACTTTTATGCAAATCATTTAATAACAACAAGGTGATTATTGAATAAATTGTTAATTAAACTTGTTTATTTTGTTAAATTACCTTTACCTGTTTTGAAATATTCATTAATCAATAAATACAAGTTTAAACTTTGATTATTAGATTTCATTCTATTAAATATTGAAATGATATAGAAAATGATTCACGCGAGTTCGATATTGAAAATAAAAATTTTACTTAATAATGATTATTTTCTTGCAAGTTTGAAATTGGGTTTAAAAGAGACTTTATATAAAACACTGGTTACTAATGATAATTCTATCAGCCTTTGGCATCTTAGTTAATAACTAGCTAGTTTGAATTTCATAAGCCTGTTCTCATGTTTGTTGTTCATGGGTCTAATTCCCACATTTGATTTCATGGCTCCAAGTTACATTTGATTAGTATTACCCTTGTGGACTGTGTGTCTATGTTTATTTCGTAGCTCAGGCTACGTTTGATTACTTACTCTCATGGACTTTGTGTTCACATTTATTTTTGTGACATAAGTCGCATTCGATTATTTACTCTTATAAACTATGTGCCCACATTTGTCACTTGTTCTGATAAGTTCCTATAATTATAAGTTTTTAATTATTTGATGAATCTATTTTTCATTGGTTTTGATTAGTGACATATTTATAATTATTTAATACAGATATTGGCCTTATTAAAAATAAATGATAATGGCATATGATATGATACTTTAATGAATTAAGATTTAATTTAATGTTATATAGAACCCTTTTATGTTAAAGTTTATTAAATTGTCATCTCTAGTAGCACACATAATTATATTTAACTTTCCTTTTATACATATTTAATTATTTATTGTTAGGATGCTATTTACTAAAAATTTATTTTGGTTTCAAATTCATTAGCTGATGCTCATCCTATTGCTAACCTCTAAAGGGTATACAATTGTTTCGGGTGAAATTTTTCTTAGCATTATCTCCTTTTGATGTAAATATTTGAATTTATATATTTTATTTTAGAAGTAAAGTTAGGTGTTCTACGTAGCCTTTTGCTATGTTTTTATTTAGATACATATTGTCTACTAGTTGGAAGGAGTTAAGCTCTTGATTGATATTATATTTTGTCTAAAATATTATGTTGTAGAATTTTTGAGAGATCCTATTTACAGGAGAGGTTTTGCCGAAATATTTACAAAAATATTGAAGCTTTTATGATAATAATTTTTTATTAAATATGTCATAATTTTCATTACAAATTCAATTATATTTTCAAATGAAAAATTTTTTTAATGTAGGGCTTAAAGGATGTGTGATATGGTTTATATTCTTATGCCGGTCACTCTCTATTTTTAGGGTGTGACAGATATATACATTAGTTCACCACATAATAAAGAACTAGCCTTTCTCGCAAAATTTAACCCATTGGTAAAATATTCTAGTTTAGTATATGTATGATGAAATTTTTAGACAAGCGGGCCGAGTTTTTTAAATGAGTATAAGAAAATATAGCAATATATGAGTCTATGCACATTGATATAATGAGTAAATGCGAAATATTAACGCGCACGCGGAGACCTTATAACCCAGAACACGGTAATCCGTACACTGTGTAACCTTAAAAGCACGCAAACTGGTTTACAAAAAGAACACGACAAGCTTCTTCCTTGCTCACCAATTCTTCTTAGTTCTATCCTTTGTGTTTCTCTAACAATTTCTCCAAACATGCATGCTCATTCACTCTCTTTCGCTTTTATCTTCTTTCTTTCAATTCTGTCCAACATTAGTGCTGCAACAAATAAGCTCCCTAAAGGTTTCAGCATTGACCTCATTCACCGTGACTCACCACTGTCACCATTCTACAACTCCTCTATGACCCACTGTCCAAAACGTTGTGTTGCGCTCCATGGCTCGAGCTAATCGCTTTCTTCGCCAATCTTCTGCAGCCGAAACAAGGAAGTTAGTAGAAACTGATATATTCCCAAATGAAGTAAACTACCTCATGAAGATCTCCGTTGGTACTCCACCTGTAGAGAGATGGGCAACAATAGACACAGGAAGCGACCTCATTTGGTTCCAATGCTCACCTTGTCCACAGTGCAACCCTCAAAACGCACCGTTCTTGGATCAAAAAAGTTCTTCCACTTACGTGCCTCTGCCATGTACCTCAACCCCTTGTGCAGCTCTACCCCATTACTATGATGTGCAAGGCCAATTAGAGTTTCCTAAATGTACTGGAACATTGCAAGAGTGTACGTATTATTATACATATGGGGATCACTCATACACTATGGGAGAATAGGCCAACGAATCTATTAGTTTTGGAGCAAGCGATGGTGGGCAAGCTGTTTCATTTCCTAACACGGTGTTTGGATGTGGACACAATAACAATGGAACTTATGGAAGCTCCGACACAGGACTTGTCGGGCTCGCTCAAGGTTCTTTGTCCTTAGTTTCACAAATGGGGAGTGTCGGTCGCAAATTCTCGTACTGTTTGCCACCTGTCGACCATCAGTCCACAAGTAAACTAAGATTCGGGGAAGCAGCCACCATATCAGGAAAAGGGGTTGTGTCCACTCCCTTGATCACCAGATCTGATATGAGCTTTTACTTCCTCAATCTTGAAGGTAGGTTCTACTAAGATTATTCACTTGTTTTATTTAAAAGTACAAAAAATATAATATAATATGATGTAGTTATATTATAAATGGCTCTTCATTTAATGGTGATTGTTTGCAGGTATCACCGTCGGAGAACAAACAGTGCGGTTGACAAGTCAAAGCGATGGAAACATATTCATCGATTCTGGGACGACATTGACAATGCTTCCACCAAGCATTTATGACCAGGTTGATTCTTTGGTAAAGCAAGCCATTGGAGCTGACCAATTCATAGTACAAATCAATCACTACAACTTGTGCTACTCAAATGCTAAGTCCATCCAGAATTTTCCAAATTTTGTGGTTCATTTTACAGGAGCTGACCTTTCCTTAAATTCTCAGAACTTTTTTCGTTTCATATCCAACGATGTTATGTGCTTCACAATGGTTTCCACAAAATCAGACGGATTACCCACTTACGGAAATGTTGCTCAGATTGATTTTGAAGTCAAGTACGATCTTGATCAGAAAAAAGTTTCTTTTTCTCCTGTTGACTGTACTAAACAGTAGAGGCTCCAGAGTATTGTCTATATACTAGTAATCATGAACACAGATACTTGTACTTGATATAAAAACTCTACTTTTGTAGTTTACTTATGTACCTAAAGTGACGAATGAACATTGTAAGCCCTACTCTGCTACGCACATACACGTGTATTCTGGTTTTAGAATTATCTATCTGAATGTATGCTTGTTCCCAAAGTAACTTTTAAATATAATGTAATATTTATAAGGATGATTTATTAAATTACTGAGATTCGCTGATTTTGAGAATTCTATGTAATTGATGTATAAAGGTGTTCCTAAATCATTTTTCAACCTCTCAACTATTTTTGGACAATCTCAGAGTTCTTCTTCAACAACATTTGTCATCTCTTCAACACGATCATTCCCGTCTATGCTTGTTTTGAAATCACATGACACGTATGTATTGCTATACCCATGGCATCTATTGATTATATCCCTCGACTTACCATGCTTATCCCAACATGCATAAGTATGATCAATTCCAAAGCACATTAAATGATCTTCCAACTCGCTCGCACTAATCTGCTTCAAGATGTCACATTTCACACAAGGGCACACAATACTATTATGGTCTGCCTCATGCTCTAGTGTGAATCTAATGAACTCCTTCAGCTCATTGACATATTTTTTTTGTGTGACTTTATTCGTAGATATTCATTTCTTGCCCATAATCTCTCTCAATCTTACAAGAATTGTTGAGAGAAATGATATTGGTGACTCAATCATATTGGAAGAGTTAGTTTAATGAATATATTAATTACTAACTCAATCAATCATGAGCCACATGCTTTTACACACACACACACACATCATCTCTCTCTAAGATAATTAAATTTAAGATAATACTTATAATTATATTAAATTAATTGTAAGTATTTTATCTTATGTGAAAACTTGCCAACAAGTAAATTCTTTTATTTATAAATTATAAATAATTTATAACATTTATTTTTATAATTTCTTTAGGCATATGTATTTGAATATATATATATAATCCAAACAACATTACGGCCCATGTTTTAAAAGTGATTTATTTTGTAAATATTTTAAAAAGATTAGAAATTATTTTATGTTAGTTACAATAATAAAAATCATTTTTTGCTTATAATAACAAGTAAAATATATATATATATATATATTTTAATATTAACATTAATATATAGGCCCAACTATTATAAAAATTATATATCATTAATTTATAAAATCTGATTTCATTGAAATTTTCTACCCCTATTCAAAAAAAATAAAAAAAATTTCTTGTATAAAAAAATTCCTTTTAATTTAAAAAAATTAAACAAAAGGGCTCTTAAAATGCCAAATTATTAATTTCAAACAAAAATTTGACAGTATAACGGCATAAAAATAAAATTTTTTAAGTATTTTACCCCGATTCCAATCACATTATCATCATCATCAAAAACAACAATATTACATGTTATTTAAAACTACAAATTACACATAAGCAATAATTTTGAGTAAGCTAAAAGTACTTATATACAATTTCAATTACTATGAAACTTCATATACTACTTAATCATCAATCAAAGAATCCTAGTTAAATATTGTTCAAACAAAAAATTTATAAAAAATAGACAATAGATTCAGATAAAAATAAAAATAAATATAAGTCTTTTTTAATTATATATTATTAGTCTAACATGTATTTTTAAGTGACCCATAACTTAAACTTTATGTGAATTTTTGCCAAAGGTTATTTTTTTCTATGAAGCATTTCATCAAACAACTTATGTGTGACACCAGTAACACAAAATCAATATAATGTAATCTAACAAACCAAAAACCTAATCAAAAATCAGTAATCCATACAACAATCAAATACAAAGACTAATTTAAATTATTTCAGAGAGCAAGAGATTCAGAAGAAATGAGAAGAGAAAATGCAAACACTTGCAGAATGGGGGGACGTGAGAAGAGACAAGAGGCGTGGGAGAAGTGTCGTCGATGGTAGAGAAAGAGAAGAGAGGTGTGGGAGAGCAAGAGAGAGCTTGAAAGAGATCAATGGCCAAATGAAAGGAGAGGAGACTAGAGGAGAGACACAAAAATGAGATCTGGAACTAGAGGGAGAGAGGACGTTGAAAATGATTTGGACTTAGGTGCTGATATAAAGGCACATATTGGACGGTTAATATATGAATTAGCTTTATTGGACGATTATTCATAATAACCATCCAACAAAGTCTATACAAAAATTTTGGGAAACTGAAAAATTTAAACATATATTAGACGGTTCTAAAACTAACCGTCAAATATTATAATTTATTGGACGGTTATTAAATATTCGTCCAATATAATAGATATGTTGGACGGTTATATTATAACCGTCCAATAAGGCCGGTCATATATACTAATTGGTATATGTTGTTTGCTGATTGAAAGAAGCTGAGCTCTTGATTGATACTATATTTTGTCTAAAATATTTTGTTATAAAATTTTTGAAAGATTCCATTTATAAAAAAGTTCTGCTAAAATTTCTACAAAAATATCGAAGCTTTTTATTATAATAATTTTCTATTAATTATATCATAATTTTTAATATAAATTCAATTATATTTTAAAGAGATATGTGATATGATTTACATCTTACCCTTAATTTTCGGGATGTCACATATATATACATTAGTTCACCACATTATAAAAAACTAGCCTCTTTCCCAAGATTTAAACCTTTATGGTAAAATATTCTAGTTTAATATATTTATGATAAAATTTTTAGACAAGCGGGCCGAGTTTTTAAATGAGCATAAGAAAATATAGCAATATATGAGTCAATGCGAAATATTAACGCCGACGCCGAGACCTTATAACCCAGGACAAGGTAATCCGTACACTGTGTAACCCAAAAATAACGCAAACTGGTCTACAAATAGAACACGACAAGCTTCTTCCTTGCTCACCAATTCTTCCTAGTTCTATCCTTTGTGTTTCTCAACATTTTCTCCGAACATGCATGCTCATTTACTCTTTCGCTTTTATCTTCTTTCTTTCAACTCTGTCCAGCATTAGCGCTGCAACAAATAAGCCTAAACTAGAGGCTCCAGAGTATTGTCTACTTCCGCTAGTCCACTTTATAGGTCACATTTTAGAAGGATAAAATAGTTCACTTTATAATTCATTGAATTGATAGTGATATTTTATTTTAAATGAAATGCCTAAACTACCTTTAAAAAGTATGAAAGAGAGAAACAAAAAAATAATATTATATAATTTATTTATTTTTTGAGGGTTATGCTTGTAATTTTATAAAATTTTATTATTTATACCTTGTTATATTGATATTGATGAGGTTGATAAAAATGACTTATAAATAGGATCGGAGGGAATATATACTAGTAATCATAATCACAAATACTTGTACTTGATATAAAAACTGTACTTTGATAGTTTACTTATGTACCTAAAGTGATCAGTGAACATTGTAAGCCCTACTCTGCTACGCTGCTACGCACATACACTTACACGTGTATTCTGGTTTTAGAATTATCCATCTGAATGTATGTTTGTTCCCAAAGTAACTTTCAAATATAAGGTAATACTTACAAGGATGATTTATTAGAGAGAGAATTATATCCAACCTCCTCTCAAAAAAATTAATCATATATAATAATCAACAACAAATCTCATTTGAAAAAAATCAAGTCATGTTTTTATTTTAACAACAGCCCATTCCACATTTATTCTTATATGTAACTAATTTTCTTGAAAAGGGGCCTGAATGTAATTTTTCCTTTATTAAATTACTTAGAGTCGCTATGACTTATTAATTATTTTCTAAAGCAAATCAGGTGTATATGTATCTTATCAAGATTCCTATTTCCATATGTTAGATTTATATGGGCGGAGGATCTAGTTAAAAAAGATCTCAGATGACATACAACAAATCATATACACCATTTCTAAATACTAATATTGAAAAATTTTAATTGCTAACATTATAAGTGAAACTATGCAAGTAATCTTTACTTTGTATTAGGCATATATCATATGTTTTTTCTTTATTAGATTTCCTTGGCATACCTTGGTTGTCTTGTAGTAAATTGATCATCATTATATGTATAAAAGCAGGGTTAAAAGCTACAAGAAAATACCACGTGTCTATTTTTAAGTTTATTGAAATTATGTACTTTGGGATATTTTTCTTATAATTTTGTGCTCCGGAGTTAGGTTTGAGTTTAGGTTCGAGAGGATTTATTATTTTTTAATATATATAAACTATGTTTTTCAAGTTTAGAATTAGGTGTAGAATGAATTATTAATTTTTAGATGTATATAAAATTATTTTTTACCTATTTGAAATTCATATTTGAATTCAAATTAATATTTATATATTTAAAATTTTCATCCACTCTAAAAATATGCTGAAAATTTAGGTTCATATGATCAAGTATACACACAAATATATTGGAATTCAAATTCAAATTAATATTTATCTATTTAAGTATTTAGAAAAAGAAACATGTGTTTGAATATTTAGATCTATCCTCATAATTTCATAGAATTATAAATATGATAAAGTATAGATATTAATCTATTTAATAATTTGAATCTCATGATGTTAAATTTCATTATACATAGATATTAATCTATTTAATAATAAAGTATTTAGAACTACTGTTCATTATTTATTGAGAATATTGAGATGTTAAATTTTGGATGATACTAATATGTTGACATACTCCCAAATTATCCAAACTACCTCATGAAGATATACGTTGGTACTCCACCTGTAGAAAGATGGCATTAGACACAGGAAGTGACCTCATTTGGTTCCAATGCTCGCCTTGTCCACTTACATGGCCCTGCCATGTACCTCAAACCCTTGCGCAACTCTGCCCCGAGTTGTTGGTTTTCCTAAATGCGGAACATCTAACGAGTGTACGTATTATTATCCTTATGCGGATTAATTATTCATACACTATGGGAGAATTGGCCACTGAATCAGTTAGTTTTGAAGCAAGCAATGG